AATAGAAAAATGAATTTTATTTCGCATTTTAAAGAAATACAGAGAAATATTGAAAGAATTCTCACATATTATATAAATACCTTCACAGCAAATACTTTGATCAGTAAAAATAAAATATTGAAAGAAGTATATATGAACGTTATTTTACCCAAGATTATGTATGGTATTGGTGCATGGGGTCTCCGGGCGGGGGAATTAATAAGACTTCGAACGAAATTGGACTCTTTGCAGAGATGCTGGCTACTAGCTATTACAAGGGCCTTTCGGACTATCTCGGCGGAAGTTCTATGCATTATATCCAGTGTGCCCCCTCTCTTGATTTTTTATTAATATTACTATGATAAATTTTTATTGAGCAATGGCCTAAAAGATTTTAATGTATACGATGATTTTAAAATTTATACAGGTTATATTAAATATCCAATTTTTATTGATATTAACCCGAGAAATGTGTTTGGTGTTGGTTTGATTGTGAAGAACCAAATATGGGTGAAATAGAAATTTATACAGATGGCTCTGGGTTTGAGGGGGGGCGTCGGTGCAGTTTATACTGTTTACTTTCATGGCTTAGAAAGAGATTCTATAAAATTGAAAATGAATGATACTATTTCTGTATACCAGGCTGAAGAGCTGCTATAAAAGAATCGTTGATCTGGGTAGATAAAAATTTAACAGACATTATATACATATTTATTCAGATGCACTTTCTGTCTTAACGGCGCTCTCCAGCCCGGAGCCAAAAAGTAATTTGATAGAAGAAATAAAGTCATTATATCGCAAGGCCAATGAGAGACATTATATAAAACTACATTGGATAAAAGCTCATATTGGTCACCTAGGTAATGAGAGGCCGCCCTGGGGGATGGTTTAGATTACAATATTATAAATCCGGCAAGAAGGAAAATGATTATAAAAATGAAAGACTACTATTAAAAGCAATGGAATCAAATGTGGGAAAATTCAACAAGACGAAAGTCTTATTTAAAAAATAGAAAAATAAATAGAAAAATGAAAACCTATACAGATATAGATGTGAATCAACTTATCACAAGTCATGGAAGATTTTCACATTATTTAAAGAGATTCCACCTCCAGGGCAACGATAGATGCCTCAAATGTGATCTTATTGGAGATGCGGAACATTTCATTGAGATATGTACTCTTACCCGGGGGGGTGAGGGCAAAATATGGAATAACAGGATTAGATATAACACAAATGAAATATGATAAATTTTGAATTTGAAATTTTCACAAGATGTTATGACTGTGATAAATAAAAATAAAAATATTATGGGCATTGGTAGTTAGGAGAATTAAAATTGGATGTTATGAGTTTTTAAAAGAGATTTTAAAAGGCTTACAACCATTTGAACCAGTTTTTTTTAGTTTGTTATGTTTCATTTTTCTACTTTTTTTGTTGTTCGGGGCCCGGGCCTGGTTTCGCAGGAGCATTTGATATTTTATGGCTTTAAAAATTAAGAATTGTCTGTTTTTTTATATGATTAAGAATTTTAAAATTAAGAATTGTGTGTTTCTTTTTGAGGCACGGCTGGCTTGGTGGACTTTTTGTGTTAGACGGGCCTTCCCCTTTGTGGCTGATATGAATCGGCTAGAGGGGTCGGGGCTGTACCCACAAAAACAACAACTGTTTCAGTCTCAGTGGATTTGTTCGAACGAAACATGCTTGCGTGGTCTAGTTAATCAACTAGGTTTGATGCTTCAAAACACTTTTTCCTTGACAAGTTCTGTTTGAAGCTGACAATGGAGATTTAAAAAAAAAAGGGAAAGAAAGTGAAAAAAAAAAATTCATAGTCAAAATTTTTCATTTTTTTCCCTAATTTTTTTTAGTTCATAATTTGTAATTTGCATAAGTATTTCATTTTACAAGCATTTCTGGAAAAAAGATAGGTTTCTTCAAATATTTTAATGGCCCTTTTTCTAGGTTTTAAATTCCTTTCCTATTTTTGTTCAATTTAATATATATAATATATAAATCAAAATTATAATTTAAACTAATGATAACCCTTTAATTCCCCCGTACTTTGTATAAATAGCATTCGAAAATAAACTGCGTCACTTTTTTCCTACTTTCTACCTTGCTAATACCTCAGCGCTTTGCTTCCCGTCAAAACTGCCTGAATCTTAATTTTAAGAAATCAATGTACATAGAAATTTATTGTATTTTCATTATGACTGAAAAATAGAAATGTCTCAGATTTCATTAAGATAGCATAAACATCTATGGAGATGATTTTATATGCAAGGAAATAAAGACCTATAAGTAAATAAGATTATAAGCAATAAACAGTAACTTATAAGTAATAACTCAGCTAGCTAACTAAAAGTTTTATAAGGAAACACGAAATATAGAATATTAAATAAAAGTTGCTAATTCAAGTTCATTTTTCAGTCTGAGAATTCAAGGGGTAAATCAGTTGCACAGGTCTCTTGTGGTCCCTTCTTTTAGTTTTCAATATACATGATTGTACAAGACTACCACATACTTTCAAAACTTGAATTATTCAACCTAAATCATACAAGAACTTAGACTTGGCAATTATGACAAGTCCATCATGAGATTCATGAATGTTTTTATGAGGAATACTCTTTCTATAGAGGAACAAGTGATATTGTGTTTTCCAAATTAAAGAATGACATCTAATATGTTAAAAGTATAAATTAGGTCAGGCTTCTAACAAATCATTTAAGGATTTAGAATTTTTCCCTATGCAAGGTGCATCAAAAATAAATCTGAATACAAGACGTTTCTTTATCTGGACTTAATCACTGCTGTATACGACATATAAGATCTGATTCAAGATCATTATTTTGATGTACTTTAACAATCATTTTTTTTTTTTTTTTTTTTTTTTTTTTTTGTATGTTCTTTATGCACTTCTACATCTTTATCCAAGCTATCGCTCAAAATTTCAAAAGCCTTCTTTAGATAGCAATTATTATTTAATTCATAAAAATTAGGTTTCCAAAGTAATTTAGTTTCATATTTACCATTATTAAAACATAAAGAGTTTTATTATTGTATTCTTCATAACAGCAGTAATTTGTAAGCAAGCTTTCTCTTTTCTAAATTTTGAACCAGTAATTACCCATCCAAAAGTGGTGTTTATCATGCCAAAATATTTGTTAGTGCATTTTTTTTTTTACCTAAGATAAAGTTCTATAACAAATCAGACACTATTAAAATTTGAACATTATATATTTAGCATCTCCACGACATGAGGTTGCAAGCTTTAATTCATGTCTAGCCAGAAACTCTTGTTTTGTATTCATTTGAATGCTTGTTCTGCATCAAAAATAACGTTTTTTGAAATTAATCTTGTTGTAAGAGATCAAAGAATAGTTCGTTTAGCCTTTGTTAGTTAGATTTCAAAATCAATTTCTAACACTTTTTTCAAATTTATTTGATGCCTTTGTTTAGCTAAGTTCTCTTCTGATTTTAAGTGCATTAAGAATAGAAGTTCAAAGTAATTCACAGTATGAAATTCTTTTCTTAACAGTAGAGAATAGCAAAACTTACCCTGTCGCAAATTAAGATTTAATCTTATTCTTACCCACTTATTCCAAACCACAGCATATCCACTTGTTAAAAGCAAAAGATCGCTTCCTTTCTGCATGCCACTATGCAGTATACATTATTGAAGACAGTACATCACATTCCAAAATTGAAACACCAACTGTTTGCATAACTTTCAGATGACAGCAGCACAAAAGTATTTGTTATTCCCTACTTAGATCATCAAATTTTTCAAACTTGAAAGCAGGCAAAAATTAAATATTTACAAAAATAACTCACTTATTTCAAAGCAACGGAAAGCTTCGGTAGCACTTCCCTTGTAAAGTCTTCTAATATGTTTTGGTGTGTGTGTGTGTGTAATTATGGCAAAGCCTTGAGGGCTATCTGCCTAAGGGGAGGGATGCCTTCGTGGAGGACTTTCTAAGGGAAACTGGCTCGTATACACGTTACACATGGGGAAAACCACGAAAATGCCCATGCAGCCAGCCCATTCGCGGGATTCGAACCTCGGACCGAACTACCAATGTTCAGCGACTTTACCACTCGGCCGCTGGTGGGCCTAGTATGTTTTGGAATAATACACTGTACAACCTACTGAAAAGACTAAGCAGTAAATTCTCACTAGGTCTTGGAAGAACGGATAACTACAGAAGAAGGTTCAAATAACCTTTTTTATTTGAACTGAACTTAACAGAAACACACTCACTCAGTGCTCACAAATTACCACTACTTGTGGCTAAGTAAGTTAAACAGAAAAATAAAATGTACAACCACAATAAAGTAAGATCAGCTATACAACTGGTTCCTTCTTTATTTAAACTGTTAAATTGGTTGCACACAGTACCTAGAATATTTATAATATTAACCTAGAATATAATCTAAAGAGAGTGGCTAAGCACCATTTATTCAAGTACTGAGTTATTTCAAACACACGGCATAAATTCGAAACTAACTCTCCTACGACACACTCTTAAAACCGCTGCTTAAATACTGGTCCTGAACTCACTTAGATTTGCATACACGTCAATAAAATTTACATTCTGGCAGGAAACTGAAATTTGAAGGGAAAGTTTCTAAAACTCAAAATAATTGGTTAAAATAAAACATGGTCTTTACACCCTACTCAAAGCCACATCATAACCTAATGTTCTAAGTACACAGAGGAGAAGCACTCTCTAATGGCATTACAAATTAATCATTTGCGGATTTTTCCAACAAAGCTGACAGAAAGAGATGAACAGGTCATAAAGGACTTCTAGAGAACATTATTTGAATTTCTATACATCTTTACTCCTATTAACATAATTTATTTGTATAAAAAATTCTGAATTCAGCAATTACTTCACACAACTAAACCTAAAACAATATTCTTTTTAAGATGAGGCAGACTATAATAATCATTACATTGTCGAACTTCTCTCTCATGATATACGAGCAATACATAAAATGATTCATAAATGCATACCTGGGTAAATTTTTTGGCCTGTGTAAACTCAGTTCATCTTCTAAATCACTTATTTTTGCCTTGAGGTCATTGCGTTCAAAAAGAATGTGCCTAAGCTCATCCAATGTGAACCTAGGGCGATTTGGATCATCTAAGTTAATGATCAGTTTCCCATGCAAATCCATTTGGTGCTGTTCCTAACGGGGAGAACATAATTTTCTTTAGAGGAAATGTACACAGGAACATCAAAACATATCACATCAACAAAATATTTCAGATGACTAGAATAGCACTTTCATTTCAGTAAATTATAATTTTAAATTTACAACTTCTCAGTGTGATAAAATTATATCAGTAAATACAATTCCACATCTGAAATCATAAAAAGTTAATATGACTACACAAGAGAAAACACATTTTCCATGGGCAATTCATTGTTTTTCTTATGTGCAAAGTATATGCTGTAAGCCACTATTTCTTCTGCAAATAATTTAATATGTTCACCAGAATAAAATCATACACCAACAAGCATGAAAATTCTCTACAAAGAAATATTCTCAGCAAAAATCAACCTCACAGCATTCTGATTATATGTGTTTTGTCCTCCGATTTAAGACATAATATTTAATTAGAGATACCAACAAATACTTTTAATTGCTGCTTTGAAAATCTATTCCAACAAACGCAAGAAATAAAAATTAGGAAACGCATCTATTATAAATACGTGCAAAGCTTTGATAATTTTAGATTTGTAAGTCTGCTAATCCTGTGATGAATTTACAATTAATATTCTGGTGGTAAAATGTAATAACACCAAAGAATTTCAGTCAGTATTAAGACAATTTCTTTCAGTAATAATACAGTACAGTGAAAAACTCATAAAATAGCCCAGGATCTGGAAAGCTCATTACATGAATTAAAGAAAAAATAGATACATCAGCAGTTAGTCTATCAACAAAGTTTTCTGATTGACTCATTCTCATCGAATTTCATGATTCTACATTGATCTTTGTTTTTTGCATAAATTACAGTCAAGACATGACACTGTTGCAATTTGATTTTCAATACCATACAACAGTGTTTCTCAATCCCTGGTCCTTGAAAAGGTTGCCCATACTATAGCTGAAAATCTCAAAAATGTGGAAATGCACTTGCCAATCATCTATCCCTTTTTCTCTGAATACTAAAATTTAATTAAATTTATTACTGGTTAAACTTATATACAGCCTTTCCACTCTAGCCTTAGCAATAAAAGAGGGATTTAAAGCATTATGACTTCTAGCCATTCTTTCACTGCACAACTAATGCCATATCTGCAACTTAACTGAAGATCATTCCAATTCATCACAATACACTGAGGTACTAAACCATCTTTTCATGTGTTTATGCTTTCCTTAATAGAGACACACTGAAATTTCGTTTACAAAATTTTGTAAATATAACGCTGATTTTTGTTGTTTGACTTCTGAATTAGTATTTATTCGGCGTGTTATTGTGTCTTAATCAATAACATTACTGAAAATCCTGCGTTTCCCGATATGACAATGGGAAAAATTTCAGATTCAGATGTTTTAAAAGCTGGGTGATTTAGATATGCAAATGAGAATACTTTCCTTTTTCTATTTCTTGTAGACAACCACATGCAACTGGTAAGAAATTGTATGCATTGTTGATCTGTCATTTGCCTGTTAGTTTAATAGTTGTATAGTTGCTTAAAATCCTTTTTATGTGAAAGACAGCACTGTCTTTGTTACATAGTTCTCATTGTATTTAATGGAAAACTGGCTTCAAACTGATATTTGGAAGGAATGTGTAACTCTCCTCATTTAGGCACTGCTAATTAATAGTGCACTGGGCATACTTTGTGTGCGATTATGATATTGTCAGAGATGCTAGTGTCGTTAAAGATACATTTTACTGGTACTCCTAGCTGTTCCAAGAGAAAAAAACACGTAACTCTGACAAAAGTTCTTTGAAATTTGAATTTACTTACTGTAACAATAAAAGTGAACCAAAATCTCAATGAACTGTATATTACAAACTGCTTGCAAACAAGTGTATCAAAGCCTCAAAATTAGAATGGCACTTACAGACAAAAAGTAAGCATAAAAAGGAAACCTGTCTAATTCTTGCAACAAGGTGTGAACTGAAAGAAAAAAGAAATTATTTCGAATAGGTTATGCATCTAAAAAGACCTTAGAAGCTTCCTATATTGCATATCTTCACACTGTAGAGCGGGACACCCTATTTTGTATGCGAGACCATAATAAGTTTAAAAAATTGTTTCATGATAAATGATCTAAGAACATTGATTTAAAACCATTCTCGAATGATAGTTTCCCACTGAATAACATACCTGTAGCGATCACATGGTACGTGAAGCCTCGGTAGTTGCTTGCTCATGTCGCCATTTATTAACACCAGTGAGAAGTGCTGCATCGCATAAGCAGGACCCGATCCTAGGTCTGTTTACTACAAGTCAAATTCTTTACCACTTAGCCCAAAACAGCTCCACTGCACTAGGTACAAGAATTCCAACTCTTTCAAACTTGCAATGTTCTTGAGAACGCTACATCTATGATGTGATATGAGGAGATGTTCAATTTGTGGGTGTGACCGTAAGCCCTGTGCTTTTGATAGGCAGTGATTGCGGTGAATGGGCATGCACAGTTGGATCTGTCGATGGCTGGAGGAAATGGTTGAGAAACCAAGTTTTGTTGGCATGTGTGTCGCCATTGTGTTGTGGGGGGTAGAGCGTGTGACATAGTTTGTCATTTGTCCTCAGTGGAGGGAAGTCTGTAGTTCTCTGGGTCACCAATGTAGTGATCACATGGTTCGTGAAGCCTCGGTAGTTGCTTGCTCATGTTGCCATCTATTGACACCAGTGAGGAGCGCTGCATTGCATAAGCTGGACCCAATGCTGGGTCTGTTTACTAGAAGTTGAATTCTTTACCACTAGCCTGAAAGAGCTCCACTGCGCTCGGTTCAAGGAATCCAACTCTTTCAAATTAGTTGAGTTGTTCTCGAGAATGCTAAAATGTCTAATTACATTGAAGCAGAACTGATCAGTAGAATAAGGGAAGGTCTGTTTTATTCACTTCAGACAGACAATATAACAGAAATTTTGAAAGATGCAGAGTTGATTTTCTTAGCGATGCCATTGATGAAGATATGTTACTTTTGAAGATTGCCACCCACACAACTTGAAAACACGTTTCAAAACTTTTATTTTTCAATCTTGGAAAAAAATATGCAAGTATTTTGCTTGGATGGGTTATGTTTATGTTCACTCGATGGTAGGCATAGTGGCAGCAAAAATTAGAACTGTGGTATCTCATGTTACCTGGACCTATTACTTCATTCACAAAGAAGCATTGGTGGCTGGAGGTATATCATTTAAATTCAAAATTGCATCAGAAGACAGCTTTCAGCTAGTGCATTTTATTAAGGTAAAGACTTTGAATGGCAGAATATTTTTATTACTTTGTGATGACGCAGGTAATCAGCCCAAACAGCTTCATTAAAAAATTCTGATTTTCATAGAATATGGTACGTACAAATCTCATTTCATGTTGGTGACTCAAGGCTAAATACATTGGCATATATTTCAAATGTGCCGAAGCATCTTTCAGATGTGCTAATGTACTCTGAACTAAATCTGTCTATAACAAGGTAAATGAACAATATCCTAAAGATGATTCTTTGATAAGTCTACAAGATAAGTCTTTGACTATTCTCAATGCCCAAGAAAAAATAAAGGCTTTTAAGAAGAAACTTCATCTATGGGTCAGCTATGTTAAAATATTTTTTCACAATTTTTAACCTTAAATTTTTTAGTAGAAAAATATATCATTATTTGGAAAAAATAATGCAACATATTTGCATCTGAAAAACTCTAGGGTCACAATTTGAAAATTCTTTTCTAAGTAGTAAATGTAATGAATTTTCATGCATTCGCGATTCTTCCCACTGAAATTAAAAAACTGTCACTGAGAGAAAGAGAACAGTTAATTGAACTCTTGAATAACACAAACTTAAAATGATATTCCAAGCAGGAGGTACAGTTAATTACTAGACCTCAATAGGGATGAAAATGGGCTATACTTACACTCCAACCTATACAAAAACTTGTCAGTAGTCAATGCGTGAACGACATTTTTACAACTTTCAAATTGCACATGTAAGGCACATTTTTAATTAACCAGCTGTTAAATTTTAATTAACTATTAACTGTTATCAAATAAATTACATTTAACTTAAAACTCATGCATATAAAAACTGAATAATTAAAAATATTCATTTTTTCATCGATAACAACAGAAAAGTATTCACCAAGAAATGAATAGAAGAAAATGAAATTTCAATTCATAAGTTCATGTCAGCAACTTCATGCTTTAGAAATGGATCATTTAGATGAAATTTATCTATTATTCATGAACATGAAATTACAAAAAAAAAAGCCCACACTGGGATTCAGGGGATCACTTTGCCTTCATTCAATTTGGCATTTTTTAAATATGAGCTTGTTTCAGCACCAATCACTAAATTTTCATTTTTCTTTTGTTCATTACATTTTTAAATAATACAGATGTCAGAGTAACAACTGCATTAATTTTCTTCAGAAATTACTGATACTTTTATGAATCTAACAAATACATTCAATAAAAGGTTGATAATTTGTCTTCTCAGTTTATGTATATGAGGAGCTTTCTGTTGCTCATTAGTATTCAGTGTTACAAACAAGCATCCTTCAAAAATAATAAATACAATGTGGTGGTAAGTGATTGTAATATTTTTTTTAATGTTTTGCAATCTCTTTCTTTCATTTTCACTGTTTTCTGGTTGATCACCAAAAAAATGTAACCAGATCACCTCATTATTCCAAAATTCTGGTTACAGAGTAAAACAGAAAGCTATCTTGTGGAATATTTCAAAATTTTATGAGATTCTGGATTCTGTCCCAAAATTTATTCAACAGCTTTATAGCTGTACTTCCATTTTGAACTTACCTCTAAATAAAAATAGTTAATCTTCTGTTATCAGAGAGTGGAATCAGAAATTTATAAATGTATGCATTTACACAAATATCCACACTCCTAAAAAAAAGGGGGACAGTCCTATATCTCCCATTCTACTGGGCCGATTGACGAAATTCAAATTGTGTTTTTCATGTCCCAAAAGCACAAGATAAGATATATATTAGA